TCGCTGCTTTTATTATAAGCGTACAGTAAAGGCTCATACACACCGGGACGCTTTATCGTTTGCGTTTGTTATCAGCGTTTTTTGAGATGTTTTTCCGGATTCAAACCCAACCGATTTTCACTGACGTCGAGCAGAAGACATTACATGGCGATACACATCTTTAAGCTTCTGACACCCACTTATAACACATGAGAAGAAGAGAGATAGTTGATACGCTTGTTGTTAAAGTTACTAGCGATTGGAACAAACATGGATGGTTCAAGTAGCAGCTCCAGCTCTAGCGATGAAGAATTGATTAGTGTTCACCAGTGCAATAAGCAGCTCCACGTTCATATCGCCTCTTGGCATCTTCTTCAATGTGCGCTCGCATTGACAGTTTTGCACTTAAGTTCCTCCAAGTGCTCTTAACTCTAACTCCAGCAGCTCCGTGCATACCATCAAAAGTGCCAATCTGATTGGTGGAGAAAGTTTTGATGCGATGCGTCAAAGCAAAAAAAATGAGGCTTTTCTTTAAAAATGACGCTTTTGTGCTTTGTGTTAAACGTCAATGGAAAACACAAGCAAAAAGCGTCCTGGTGTTCACAGGCCTTAAGATGACGTGACGGCTGCCACAGGTCAACAGCGGCAGTGGAGAGACAGTGATGAAGCCAATTCTGTGGATGTGGATGATTTTGAGGCAATGACGGGTAAGGGCCGATGGAGGGAATTTGGCCAAGAAACCGGAGTTATACCCCTACTCTTTACAAGAAATGCCATGGGATTTTTAATGACCATAGAGAGTCAAGACCTCAGTTTAACGTCTCATCCGAAAGACGGCACTCACTGACAGTATAGTGTCCCCTTCACTTTACTGGGGCATTAGGACTCACACAGACCTCAGGAGCACCCCTGCTGCCTCACTAACACCACTTCCAACAGCAACCTAGTGTTCCCATGTGGTCTCCTATCTAGGTACTGACCAGGCTCAGCCCTGCTTAGTTACCGGTCTTAGGCTGCATGGCTGTGACAATTAAGGGGGCCCCGACCAATGCCAAGACGCCTATTTTAATTATATAGCCCTTATAAAAAATTTTTATCATAAGTTGTCAAATCTGTCTATAACCATTAATATTTTAACATTATATACTTCATTTAAAAAACAGGGCCCCCATTAATAATGGAACGTTCCTTCCATACTGAACATGAAAATAACAAAAAATAACAATAATTAATAATTAACTCTGCATAGTTAGATTGTGAACTTGTTTTTTAGTTTGGAATTTATTGTATTCAATTTAATGTGTTTTTAATTTATTATACAGCAAGAAGGTCGCTGGGTCGCTGGTTCGAACCTCGGCTCAGTTGGGGTTTCTTTGTGGAGTTTGCTTGCTTAGCAGGTTTTCCTCTGGGTGCTCCGTTTTACCCCACAGTCCAAAGACATGCGGTACAGGTGAATTAGGTAAGCTAAATTGTCTGTAGTGTATGAGTGTGCGTGTGAATGTGTGAGGGATGTTTCCCATCCACGGCTGGGTTGCGGTTGGAAGGGCATCTGCTGCGTAAAAACTTGCTGGATAAGTTGGTGGTTCATTTCGCTGTGGCGACCCCGGATTAATAAAGGGACTAAGCTGACAAGAAAATTAATGAATCAATACATATATATATATATATATATATATATATATATATATATATATATATATATATATATATATATATATATATATATATACATATAAATATACAGACACACATACATACAGTTAGGTCCATAAATATTTTGACGTCGACACAATTCTAACATTTTTGGCTCTATACACCAACACAATCGATTTAAAATGAAACAAAGATATGCTTTAACTGTGGACTGTCAGCTTTAATTTGAGGGTGTTTACATCCCAATCAGATGAATGCTGTAGGAATTACAACATTTTGCATTTGTGCCTCTTGTTAAGTGTCCAAAGGTAATTAGTATGTTTTTAAATGTTTAAAAACTTCAAGCTGTCAATTTGGTAAAACCTATTTTCTTGACAGATAAAATAGCAAATGTTTTGGGGGTGCTTTGTCTTTAAAATATGTTATCATTTAGTTCTTGTAATGCACTTTAAAACAGTAATTGATCAATAAGTCATAACAACATATGCTTTTAATTTAATTATAAATTATTAACCCAAGTCAATTATATATTAACTGAATGTTAAGTCATTCAAGCCATAGGTCATTTTAATGTTATTTAAGTTAAAATGACTCATGAAGGTTAATTTGATTCAGCTTATAAAATGAAAAAGAACCAGGATTTTTTTAAACAGTGTGAATACAGGATCCAGTCAGGATTCTTTGCAATATACTCTAAATTCATAATTTTTTACAAATGACATTTTAGTGTCTTCTCTGTAAATCTTGGTTAAATATGGGACAGTCATTATTGCTGTGCTAAAAAAAAAATACAAAAAACAAACAAACAGGAACACACAAATATATGCATGTATTTTTCTCACAAATGTATGCATAAACAGTAAAACTGTATACAATTTTAAAAGATTCTTTTTATATAAAGCTCATTTAAATGTAATGTATTCCATTATTCTAAAGAATTATTATCAGTTTAAAAACAGTTGGCAGATTAATATTGTTGTGTACTTTTCCAGCAAACATGCAGTATTTATTTTACTTTTGTAATATTACAATGTCTTTAATTAATCTAGTCTTTAACCTCTCGTTAATTTAATAAGTACTCACTATTATGTTTTGACGCAATCTACATTGTAAAAAGCGCTATAAAGATTAATTAACATTTTAATTCTAACATTTTTGTCTCTATACACCAACCCAATTGATTGAAATGAATTGAAATGAATCTAAGATGTGCTTTAACTGTGGACTGTCAGCTTTAATTTGAAGGTATTTACATTTCAATCAGATGGATGCTGTAGGAATTACAAGTTTGCATTTGTGCTTCACACTTGTTAAGGGTCCAAAAGTAATTAGTATGTTTTTAAATGTTTACAAACTTCATTCTGTCAATTTGGTAAAACCTATTTTCTTGACAGATAAAATGGCAAATATATATTTTTTTGTCTTTAAATATCTTATCATTTAGTTCTTGTATCGGACTTTAAAACAGTATTTGATCTACAATCTACATTGTAAAAAGCGCTATAAAGTTTAATTAAATTGAAGTATTTTATTTTCTAACATACATTTAAAATGTAATTTGCTGTTTGTTTAAAATACTTATTTAAATAGAGCTGAAACAACACAATTCTTGATTTTTTTGGGGAGGATAATGTTTTTTAAAACAACTTTGTTTTATGTTCAGTCCACCTAAATTTGTAATCTTAATTCTTTCATTTTTCAAACAAAAATCGATAGTGTGGAACTGCAAAAATAAATGTTTTCCCTACTATTTTGTGAATTATTTCTATTCTTAAATAAAGAAGCATTATTTAGATAAGCAAAAAATATATATTTTTTCTTGTTTTAAGAAATAATAGGTCAAAATAAAGTGTTTTTTTTCAAAACAAGCAAAATAATCTGCCAATGGGGTTTGCAAAATAATCTTGTTTTTCATTTGAACAAGATTATTTTCAAATATGTTTGAATTATATTGTAAGTTAAACTATTTTAACTTGATGCAAGTTGAGATGTTAAATGGATTTGCTAATTGATTTAAGCAAAAATCTACAGATATAAAAAGTGGGTGATCTTACTAGGTATTAGCAGTAAGTCATTACAAAATATACTTACTCCCAGGGCCGTTTATCTCAAAGTTGATATTTAGCCGTAGTGTTTCGTAACATCTAAATTTTCACGAGATGAGTCGTTAGACCAACGCACAATCCCAAACCTGGAGGACCAAGACATACACACATACACTACGAACAATTTAGCTCACCCAATTCACCAATACAAAATGTCTTTGGACTGTGAGGAAAACCGGAGCACCCGGATGAAACCCATGCAAACACAGGGAGAACATGCAAACTCCACACAGAAATGCCAACTGACCAAGCTGGGACTGGGACCAGCAACCTTTTTACTGTAAGGCGACATTGCTAACCATTGAGCCAATGTGCCACCCTATCACAACAGCAAATGCTTTTAATGTAATATCAAATTATTAACTTGAGTCAATCACGAATTTTAATTTTAAGTTATTTAATCTTTAAGTCAGTTTAATCTGATTTAAAATGTCTCATAAGGTTAATTAGATTCGGCTTAAAGATTATTTTTATTTTGTTTTAAGGAAAAACTCACTTTAATTTGTCATATAATTTCCTAAAACAACACAATATTTTTGCTTGTCCTCTTGATTTAAGAAATTTTAGATTTTGAGACTAGAAACCTATTTTACTTAGAAAAATCTAAATAGGAAAAGCATTTTTTTTGCAGTGTAGAACTAAATTATCATTCACACTTTAAAAAAATCTCTTTTTGACTTCAAGCTTAGTCTCTTCTCAGGAAGTCCTGCTGTTACAGCTCACTTTCAATTTCCCTAAGAAAAAGAGTCACACTAAATTTTAATCATCTTTTGTTATGATCATTTATTCAGCAGCTTCTCTTTAATGCAGGCACTCTTTTGCACATTAAATCCTGTGCTGTAAGTCAGCTGAGTCTAAATCCATAACTAGCTTTCTAGATGTAAATATCTAAATCTAAATAACCCAACAACAACTAATTTTACATTTTGAACTAATAATAGTTTGTGAAACATTAGGCAATAGGTCAATAATTGTGCTTCTCAACCACGTTCCAGGAGGACCACCAGTTTTGCACATTTTCCATGTCTCCTTATCCAAACCAACTCATTGGATAATCAGCTCATTAGCAGAGACTGAAAGACCTGTAATGGGTGTGACAGACGAAGGAGAAATCTAAAACATGGAGTGCTGGTGGTCCTCCAGTAACGTGGTTATGAAACACTGATGTAATATATGCACAAGCTATTTTGAGTTCACTTTCAAGAAAATTTCATCATATTGTTACTATCCTCATGCTATGCACAGTAAATAAAATAGGCCTGGTCCAGTGCTAAACATTATTTTAATTTTTACAGTGTGCATACTTCAGCTCAAAAGTGTCAAAAGTACAAACATCATTACATTCAGTTATTAAATGGCTTGTATAATGTACAGTATAATACACAATTTATACAAAATGTAACATATATGACTGAAATACTGCAATGACATTCATATAATTTTGCATTATACAGTAGGAAGTTATTTTTACAGTCGGACGTCATCGGAGTCTGTGGTTTCTGTGGGATTTCAGAGCCGTCATTCTGGATCATGTGCAGCACCTGATAACAAACATGACTGACTTCGATATACATTTGTAATGTTTCTACATTTTATAAGCTTTCATACTTTTTGGTGAATCTTAACATAAAATTAGGTTTTACATTTCATTTTAAGTTGAGACACACAGAAAAAAATATTTAAAAATGATTCCCGGAATTTATTTATTTTTCTTTAAGGTAAGAGGTTGTAAACAATTTATTTTGGCTGAATTTAAATAATGAAATTAAGTTGAGCATTACTATATTTAATTTGTTTATTTAAAATCAACTCATTCAAATTGTTTGCAACAATTTTGCTGAAATCATTTTTTTCAGTGTATGTATGTTGTAGTTCACCCAGTCCAGGTTAATTCACCTTTAAGTTCGAAAGGATAGTGGCAAAAAATCTTTGTAAATTAAGTTTGATGCACGTTAAAGAAATTCAGGCAAGCCATTTAATCTATACAATTTACTAATGTTTAAATCAATATACTAGTACTTATTTCAGTTTCCTTTTCATCAAGTTTACACTCAAAAATGATTTTTGCTGCTTGTTCAAACTTCTAATTTGAAAAGAGCTGAAACAACACAATTCTTGAGTTTTTTGGGGAAGGACTTAATTTATGTTAAATTCACTTATATTTGTAAAAAGAATTAAGTAAATTTAATCAATTTGTGTTGGAGCAACATGAAAGACTCATGTGGAACCCAGCATTTTTTTACAGTGCACTGTACATATTCAATAAATACTAGTTCTTACACTATAAAAAGAGATTAGTTACTTAACATGAGTAAACCAATTGCCTTAAAAGTAACAAGTTGACTTTATTTAAAAACTATGTAAGTGAACCCATTGTAACTGTCAACTTGGAACTGTTACGTTGTCTTAATTTTGATAAAAATGCCAATTTTGCTATAACTTTTTTCAAATGAAGCCAACAAATCAGATTTTACAGTGTATTTATTACACAATAGTATGCATTTGATGGATACCATTAGTGACTAACTATGCTTCTAATACAAATAATTCACATTATTTTTTGCTATTGACTTCTGTTGGGATCTGTCGCTGAGAAATAAGTAACCTAACATGCTTAGTTAACCATCTAACCAGCCTAGTTAAGCCTTTAAATTGCACTTTGAGATGCTGGTGTAGCGAAGGCCAGCAAGCGAAGACGATAGAGGCATGGACATTAGCATCCTTGTTAAGCCTCCTTTCCACTTCACACGACAAGTAACAGACCGGAAGTCATTCATTTCCAATGGAGAGTAGTCCGGGAGCTGCATGGAGTTCTGATCATCTCCGTATGTAAAAAATTCAGATTCGAATTGAGCTGCGGAGCCGTTGAAATATTTAAACTCCTGCGACTAGACCGTAAGCGACCGGCCGACCGGAAGTGTTGTATTCCAGTGTTGTTCAAGCAGGTCCGTGCGCGCGAGATAAGAAATAGGACTTTATTTGGTTATTTTTTGAATCAGAAAAAGTCTATATTTAAAAACTAAACTAAACATTTCATAAATGTAAGTAATAAAGTAATAAATGTTAATAAATATAATGTTTTATGTTGTCTCCACATTCCCTGCAATATTTTTAGAGAACACTGCGAGAACAGCTTCTCTCCCATGGTGCACATCAGAACTGAAAATTCTGTGCGACTGCCACAAGAGGGCGTATTCTGATAGTCGTGTCCCAATGTTGTGTGCAGTGGAAAGGCGGCTTTAGAGCAACCGACTCCTATGCAAAGAATTGCTGGTTCGATCCCAGCTTAGACTGGGTTGGGTGCAGTAGGACCGGTGGGTTACACGTGGGGGCTCGTCCATGGGAGTGAGGTTTAGGGTGGGGGAGTTTAACGGAGGCCAGTAAGCAATGTGCTATGCAGGTAAACCTCTCTCCTCTAAACGCAAAAGGTGCTCTAGCGACAGGTGCAAGAGGTCACGGTCTTTAGCCTCCTTGTTAGAACAAACGACTGCCATGCTAACAATTACCGGTTTGATCCCAGCTCAAACCGGGTTGGTTGCAGTAGGACCGGTTGGTACATATGGGGGCTTGTCCGGGATGGGAGTGAGCTTTAGAGGGGTGAGTGTAGCAGAGGCTAGTAAGCAAAGTGCTATGCAGGTAAATCTCACTCCACTGATCTCAAAAGGTGCTCTAGCGACAGTTGTTAGAGGCCACGGTCTTTAGCCTCCTTGTTAGAGCAACCGACTCCCATGCAGCCGGCCCAGCCGGGACTTGAACCAGCGACCTTCTTGCTATGAGGCAACAATGCTAACCTCTGAGCCACTATGCCACTATACACCATATATATAAATCTTTTATGCTCACCAAGGATTGGGATTTGATCAATAAGTTCTTGGATCAAAATGACAGAATTGTACATTTAAAATACAGAATTAAAAATATTATGTAACATGATGGCCATTCTGCTTGAATCTATTACATTAAAATGCTATTTATTCCTGAGTTGTCAATGCAGATTTTTCAGCATAATATTCGCTCCAGTCTGCAGTGTCACATGATCCTTCAGAAATCAGTCTTGCAATCAGCTGAGTACTGTTGAAAGCACTGGACCTCAAACAGTGTGTCCACATTTGTGAAGCTTTAATTGTAGCGCAGTCTGCTGGCAGTGATGATGACAATCTTCTTCACAGTGCTTGTGTGTCCTGATGGGATGCAGGTGTTTTGTCCAGAAGGAGCAGCAGGTTTTTCAGTGTGAGACCGAGGCCGGGGTCACCTGGGCGGGGTGTAGCCGAATGGTAAATGTAAGCAGAGCGAGTAATTGGGCATGGAGTTGTTGCTGCTGGGCAGTGGGTGACTGTGGTAATGTTCAACCAGAGCAGCTAAAGAGGTGAACGTCACGTCCGTCTCCAGATAAATACGCTGCTCCTGGAAGTATACGGAAAAGAGATGGCAAGAATGAATAATTTGTTTGACTACAGAAGCTTGCTTTCGTCACATAAATAAACCAGTAAAAAGGCTATTGTGCCTTGTTCACAACTGCGTTGGTTTTGAAATTTGAACATTCATTCATTCATTGAATTTCTTGTCGGCTTAGCCCTTTATTAATCCGGGGTCGCCACAGCGGAATGAACCGCCAACTTATCCAGCACATTTTTACGCAGTGGATGCCCTTCCAGCCGCAACCCATCTCTGGGAAGAAATTTGAACAGTAGTTGTGAAATTTGAAGACTGAAATTTGCATTAAATATTGAACTTGAAATGTCTTTGATTTAAAACATTTTTTAGCACTAGATTTTTAAAATCTAACAATTTTAATTTTAATTCATGTTGTTGGAACTGCGAATATAACCTTCAAATTCTTGCAGTTTCTAGTTTTAACTAGTGCTGGGCAAATATTAACCGCAATTAATTGCATAAAAATAATTCGTTTTGACAAAATATATGTGTGTGTATTTGATATATTTATTTCGTACATATATATGAATATTCAAATAAATTAATATATTTGAGAAATGTATTATTTATATTTAGATATAACGTGTGCGTGTGTGTGTGTGTGTATGTGTGTGTGTATGTATATGATACAAATTTTATATAAATCTAAATATCTATGTATGCAAAAAAGGATTTGTATAGTTTTGTTTTTAAGGATGTGTTTGTTTTACATATACATATTAAATATTTATAACACACATCTTATCTAAAATCAAACTTTTATTTTGGATATAAGTTTGTTTTTACTGTTTTTCAACAGTTTTTTTACAATTTGTTTTTTGAGTTTTATATCACAATTGTTATTATTATTATTATTATTATTATTATTATGTTTTCATATTTCACTTAAGAGATCTGAATTCTGAATAAATCAGAGTTCTGAATAAATAGAGTTCTTAATAAATCTCTCAGTTTGTGAGTTTATGTCTTGTAATTCTGCATTTATGTCTTGCTATTCTGGGTTTCTTTTGTGTTTCAGAGTTTCAGAGTTTATGCCCTGCAAATCCTAGTTTACATCACATAATTCTGATTGTAAATCTTTTGCAATGAGTTGTTTATATCGTACAACTTATCCAACTATAAAACCATTCGTTCATTTATTTTTTTGTTTTTGCTTGTGCTATTACCAATATATGGAAAATATGGAAACACTAACCTCCTCAAAAAGCCTGTAGTTTCTGGCTTTGTTTATTCCAGAGTCCCAAACAACAAGTACCTGTGTCACATAAAAAACAAGGCATTAATCTAATACAGACAAATACTTATAGCAATCTCCTATAAAATAAATGACAGAATAAATAGTTTACTTTTTTAAGACATTCTATATTAGATTTCAAAAGAAAACAGTATAACAATTAATTAATTTATTTATTTATTTAAATTATGCACTTGACTATCTTTCTATCTATCTATCTATCTATCTATCTATCTATCTATCTATCTATCTATCTATCTATCTATCTATCTATCTATCTATCTATCTATCTATCTATCTATCTATCTATCTATCTATCTATCTATCTATCTATCTATCTCCATATATTCTTCATAAACATTATGCTAAAATCAAATAAAATTAAATGTAAAAGAAATTCCAGTAAAAATAAAAAATAATATTATAGTATAGTAATCCTATAATAATGCTATATAAGTATTATACTAAAATAGTAAGTTGAAGTACTTTAAAGTAGTAAGTTGGCTGTACCTGTGACGTTTTCCCCGTTAATGATTTTCGGATGCAGTACAGTCCATTCTGCGGCTGATTGTATGTGTCTCTAAAAAGTCTGCAATCAGTAAACAAAATAAACAGTGTAATCTAACACAGTAAAACATGTTTAAGTGTCAAGAAACCTGAATAAATCCTGAATTAGTATCTTAGAAGTAACATTTTAAATACTTGTATACAACATAAATAGATGCTAGTATTGATAATAGATTAAATGTTATTACTAGTGTCTATAATGAGTATGTTCTACTGTTATCTAATAGGGCGTCACGGTGGGGCAGTGGGTAGCACAAACACCTCACAGCAAGAGGGTTGCTGGGTCAGTTGGCATTTCTGTGTGGAGTTTGCATGTTCTCCCTGCGTTCGCATGGGTTTTCTCCGGGTGCTCCGGTTTCCCCCACAAATCCAAAGACATGTGGTACAGGTGAATTGGGTAGGCTAAATTGACCGTAATGTATGTATGTAAATGAGTATGTAAGGATGTTTCCCAGTGATGGGGTTGCAGCTGGAAGATTCGCTGCGTAAAACATATGCTGGATTGTTGATGGTTCATTCCACTGTGGCAACCCCGGATTAATAAAGGGACTGAGCCGAAAAAAATGAATGAATGAATGTTATCTAATAATAGCTAATAGTATCCAAAGTAAGTAGGCAACTAATATTTACTGCTAGTATAAGATCTAATATCTAAAATGAAAAGTCGATGTCTCGATTACAGATTCATAGAAGTCAATAGAAAAATATTTCTATTAGTATTACAGTTTTTCTCAGTCGCTTTGGTGCGTTTCTCACAACACCAGTGCATTTCTGCACAACAGTTAATGCATTTCTCAAAACAATTAGTACAAACTGCAAAACCTAGCTGATAACCTGCTAAAGACATTTTCAGAAAAAAATAAAGATTTAATTTTTTAAATAAAAATTGCTAGACAGATTTTGACAATTAGTTCAACATTTTTGTATGTAATGACTCAAGTAATGAAATGAGGACTGTTAGTTTTATATGCAATGACTATTTAGCATTCACAAGTTTAGTTAATTTTGACTGACATGACAGAAGCAAATGATAATGTTATAAATAGCAGAGAGTTGTATGAAAACAATTGATGCATGTCCAAAAGCATCTGCAATTTGTTGGAAGGAATGAGAAACTGCTACTAGGATGTGCACAAATGACTAATTGTTTTGAGATATGCATTAACTGTTGTGCAAATGTAAATGGTGTTGTGAGAATGCACCAAAGCGACTGAGAAAAACTGTAAGTGTAACAATTCTAATTCAAAACCAAACAATTCACTGTGCAATACAACTTCTGTCCACTAGAGGGCAGCAATATAAAGACAAACAACTAAAGAGCGTTAGTTGAGGGAAACTTTCAAGCAAACTTTTTTTAATTATTTACATGTTTTTATAGTAATTATGATGCTTAAAGAATTACTAAAATATAAAATGCTAAATCAAAATGACATAATGTTTAATTTACCTTTCCACGTTACAGGTTTCCATCGTGTTCACAAAGACAGAGGGAGGCAATTGTACCTAATGACAAAAGACAACGTTGTTACGACAAAATTTGGTTAAAGGCAAGATGACCTTCCGTTTTTTATTTAAATACATCTTGGAAATGTTGCAATGCTTAAACAAAAACAGATCATTTGAGAAATGAAGTCAAGTCCCCCACAATCTATTTCGACTGAATGTGTCACAGGAAATGACTCGATTCAGCTTCTCAAAAGTGTCTTTTTTCTTTACTAGTACATTAAAGAAGATTTTTTTAAGCTAAAATGAATGGTGATTCATAAAACAATTTCAAAACAGCTGCTTGAGCTAACAAAACATATACATGCAAATGAAAATAATACTGCTATGAAAAGACGTCTGTGAGTGTGAAATAAAGGTAATAATTATGTAAACAATGTTCAGTTTCTTGCATAGACTGATCATTTTGCTTCAGAAGACCTCAATTCTCAAAATAACATATTAAATTTGCTTCTCCTTTATTTATACTTTGTTTTAAACTCTCAAAGCTTTTTTTATTTATTTATTTCATGAATCGTCTATGACCACAATTATGTTCTACTGCAGATAAAATGTTACCTACATCTTGATTGACCTGAGGGTGAGGGTGAGTAAATTTACAGCATATCTTTCAAAACCGCAGGGTGAACTACACAGGTGCTTTATTAAAATGGAATCAAATATGTTTGCAAAATATCAAATGAAGGAAACTCACATTTTCATAGTCCTCTTCATCTGAGCTTTCATCAATTCTGTCTGGAATTCGTTTTGGAGGCTTCTCTTCAATAGAAGAACGAAAACTTTGTCCATCCGGCGATGCTCTTCTGAGAAGAAAGGCACAGGCTAGTTGTATAAATAATCTCATATATATATATAAAGTCTGTGGTAAAATTAAATCACAAGAATCAAGCTATTAAATGCTTAAAATATTATACTTACTACTCTTATAGTAATTAAAAAATAATTGTTTTAATAATTTTATCATCTAATTAGATTTTTAGAGTCATTGGATTTAATAAACTTCACCTAATTTGATGATTAAGCTGGATGACATTTTTAGAACCATTACATTTTTGATTAATTTCAGTTACTTCGATGGTGCACCACATGACATTTTTAGAAGCATTGCATTTTATTAATGTCATTTAATTTCATGACTGCATCACATCACATTTATAGTCAATTAACTTGATTAACTTCAGTTACTTTGATGATTGCACCACATGACATTTTTAGACTAATTACATTTTACTAATGTAATTTGATTTCATGACTGCACCACATCACATTTCTAGTCAATAAACTTGATTACCTTTAATTACTTTGATGGTTGCACCACATATTTTTAGAGCCATTACATTTGATTCATTTCAATTACTTTGATGGTTGCACTATATGACATTTTTAGAAGCATTAACTTTTTTTATAAATGTCATTTAATTTCATGACTGCACCATATTGACTTATTGACATTTATAGTCAATAAACTTGATTAACTTTAATTACTTCGATGGTTACACCACATAAAAACTTTGGCATTAAGTTGTATTAATCTCAAATAATTTGATGATTACTCCACACAGCATATTAATAAGCATTCAGCTGTATGCATTTAATTTAATTTAATTTAATTTAATTTAATTTAATTTAATTTAATTTAATTTAATTTAATTTAATTTAATTTAATGATTTCTTTACATTACATTTATAGTCAGTGAATTTGATTATCTTTAATTACTGTCACAATTACACCACTTGACATTTTTTACAACCATTAAATTTGAATTATTGATTGCACCACATTTCTTGACAATAAACTTGATGACCTTTAATTACTTTGATGGTTGCACCACATGACTTTTTAAAGAAATATTAAATTTGTTTGATTTTAATTACTTTGATGGTTGCACCACATTCGATTTTTAGGGTCTGTAAATTGTATTAATCTCAATGAATTTGATGGTTACTCAACACAGCATATTTTTAGGCATTCAACTGTATACATTTAATTGAATTTAATGATTGCATCACATTTATAGTCAGTAAATTTCTTTATTTACTTTCAAGGTTACACCACATGTCACTTTTTACCATTAAATTTGATTAATTTCAATTACTTTGCTTATTGCACCCCATGGTATTTTTTAAGCATTGCATTTTATTAATTTGATTTAATTTCATGGTTGCCCCACATTACATTTCTAGTCAATAAATTTGATGACCTTTAATTATTTTGACGGTTGCACCACATGACATCTTTTAAAGCATGTAGTCATATATTTATAAATAAACAGGGAAAAACTTAATTGATGTGAGATTTTGTATTGTATTCTCTTTCTCACATATCTGGTTTTAAACCTTTAAAGTCTTGGTTTTAGCTGTTTGTAAACACATCCATAGCCATAAATGTCTGAATACACAACCACGAACAGAAGACACTTACTGGAATGAGGGTCTTCCGGGTTTGGGTTTGTTTGGCACTGGGGGCTTGTTTATCTGTCCCAGAGTGCTGTGATTTGTGGACAGATGAGGTGAAAGCGGCCTTTGTCCGAATGAAGGCTTCACTTCCAAATGATGACCCGAAATGCTTGTTTTACTTGCAGAGATCAGCATCACTTTCTGCAGGTTCTCCACGATGGGTAAAGTGGCTGGTGAGTGATTAAAAGTGACGCTGGACTTCTTTTCGCAGGCAGGCATTGTGGAGAATGGGCCTGGCGGAGGTTTAAGACTGACAGGAGGAGGTAAAGGGGGCATGGGGCTGACAGGGCGTCTGTTTGAGTCTGTTTTCTCCAGATGCGGGGCATACGGTAGAGGTGGAGGAGGAGTATCTTTGATGTGGCAGGACGGTTTCTTGAATGGAGGTGGTAGAGGAGGCGGAGGTCCTTTCGATCGGGTTTCTCTAGACGACTGAAACGGAACTGGCGGTGGTGGATACGATGGAGGTGGAACCGTGGGTCGACCTGGAAAAAAATAGAAAACCAAAAAAACATCAAACAAATTCCACTCTGTGAGTTAGTTTTGTCTGTGAACCTGAATGCAAATGCAAAAGATGACAATCATTCATTTACAATACAAAGGTTCTTATTGGAATTGATGGTTCCTTGAGGAATTGTTTAGGCAAGACACTGCATGCGAATAGGTTAAAAATCACAATTAACACAGTTCATTGATTTCATTAAGAATGGCAAACATTTATTTTTGTGTCACAAGTTTTCCAAAATGTTATGTTTAAATGTGTTAATTAAATCTAGAGACCATTGTGGCTAAGAAATTTTTATTTTGGATGTTTTCTTTACAAAACAAAATAACAAAAAAGAGTTAATTTATTACATTAAGAATGGCATTTGTTTTTGCAAAGGAAACATATAAAATGCACATTTCGGATGTTTTATTTACAAAAATATATATTACATTATGAATGGCAAACATTTATTTTTGTGTTACAAGCTTTACAAAATATTGTAAAAGTTTTTAAATTTGCTCATTAAATTTATATACAAATTTTGAAAAATTGTGACAAAAGAATTGCACTTAAATGTGCATTTTAAATATATTTTTTACAAAATAATAATAAAAATAATTACGATCAACCAAAATGCCCCCAAATCCTAAAATGTGCTTAAAAAGTGCATGAAAATAAAGTGTTTAATACACTAAAATCTATATATAAAAAAGTTCTTTAAAGAACTGCAAAAACCTATCTTTGATTCTTTTGGCACATTTATGAGAATGACATTTAAAAGTGTGAGCAAAGAAATAACAGACATGCAGAAATCACACAGACCTGCTGATGTTGGTGATCCGTCCTCCTCTTCACTGTCTTCATCTTGTAACATGTAATCTAATTGAAATCAAATTGAATTTAAATATATATTTAACACAAATTAACATCTGTAAATCAATATTTGCAGACATAAAACTATACACGTTGTCCGTGGGGTTTAAAAAGTCTTAAAATGTCTTCAATCTCAAAAATTAAAATTTTAAACCTTTTTTTTTAAATCAGGTATAATTTTTCTTTATTTATATATAGCTACATAATCTGGCCATTAATACCCATACTATCTCAATAACACTTTATATTTTTATTTCAAATTTGCATTTTTTATTTTATTTACCATATTGGTTTAAGTACTTCTCTTACGGTAACATTTGTATAAAAGTTCTCCATATATTTACTGCTGAGGATACCGACCTGACCTATATTTTCTATTATTAAATTATTTTTATTGAATTATTAAATGTAGTAAATTATAATCATTTTTTATAGGACAAGTGAAAATCTTTCCCAACTGAGATATTCGAAAAAAAAAAAATCCTTAGCATTTAGTCCTGTATAATCTAAAATTTCATTTACAATGGTCTTAAAAATGTCTTTAAAAGTCCCAAATTTAACTTGGTGAAACCTGCAAAAACACAGACTATGTGCATTATATAAATGTGGTATACATCCATACAAATTATAAATAATACTAAAAAAAAAAACTTAAAAAAATAAATCAGCTGTCAATAATAGGAATAAAGTACATTTTAAACTCCGCTGACTAATAAAACATTTTGTTATAATATTTGAAATATTTTCTCTGTTAAACTGAAATTGCGGAAAAAATAAACAAAGGGGTTAATAATTCAGGAAGGCTAATAATTTTGACTTCAAGTATATATATATATATATATATATATATTTATATATATATATATATATATATATTTTTTTTTATTTTATTTGACATGGACATCACAATTACACTGGACAACCAAATGCATTTGTTTAAGTGTTTTAGCAAACTTGCTAATTTTCAACACCTGTCCACAGGAGGCTTAAAATTGACAAAATAGAAATATAATAAAACATACAAAACATTACAATTCTTTACATAAAATTACTGCAGGCAAAAACAAAGGCGACATGATCCAACCAACTAACAGTAGACTATTTGTGCAAACATTGCTGTTTTGTTTTTAACCACTTTTTAAGAGCACTACTAAAAATATTTAATTACTTTCTGATTTTAAGCTAACCGGTAAATCATTCCACAGTTTGGCTCCCTTTACAGAGAAGACTGATTGACCAAACGAGGTCTTACACTTTGGCACTAGACAGTCACCGTTAGCAGTTGCCTGTGTAACTCTGTGTAATAATATATATATATATATAAATACATAGACAAAAGAAGGGTTCACCCAAAAAATGAAAATCCTATTTGGAGTTTCTTAATTGTGTTTAACACACACAAAGGACATACTGAATAATGATGCTAGAAAACTGCCATAGTATTGTTTTGTTCCTACTGTGAATGTCAATGGCTGCTTTTTCTAAAATTCTTCAGGAATTCTTGCTTTGTGTTCAACAGAAGAGAGCACTCTCAAAAAATGTGAGTAAATTTTGGTAAATGTATATCTTTTGGTGAACGATCGTTTACATATAATATTATAATTGTATTACATTGAAACTACATTTTATTATGTAACTTGTAACATGAGAATATTGTTTAAAGTGCAATTATTATAAAGTAAAATGCTGCACACCTTCTTCAGGATCTTCTTCAACAGGCCTGATTTCCACCGTTTCCTCCAGCTGTCCATATAACGACTCCGCATCCAAATCATCACTATGAAAAACACAAGACGTTCCAGAGAAAAGATAAACATTTCAGATGAAGAAATACATAAACAAGCAGTGCTCGCAAGAAAGAGGAAGAGATGACAGATGGCATGTGACAAATTGCTGAGAAAAGTTTGACTGAGAGGTAAAAATCAGATAAGTAACCCTAATCTATTAGGTCAAATAATAAACCATGCATACAGTAGATCTGAATTATACAGCCTGATCTCACAAGAAAACGTAAGTATTTTACGTTTTGCTAGTTTAGTGGCTAATTTATACGAATTCATACGAGTTCAGTCATACGAAATTGTACAATTTTAAAAAGGAGGCATGGCACCTAACCCCACCCCTAAATCCAACCATCATTAGGGGGATGAGCAAGTCGTACAAAATTGTACGAATTAGATTGTACGAATTCATACGAATTAGCCACTAAATCAAAAAGTTACAAATTGCCGTGAGATTGTGTTGGAATTATATCACAGTATCTGGCATCAATGATTAAGCACTTGTGGTTCACTTACTGGTCACTGTGTTCACACCTGTAGTTTATTTTTTCTTAAGAACCACTTTAGTTTTAAGTATCAACTCCCATTAACGACTGGCTTACTGATTTTATTTTTGACATACTGTATAAGCGGACGCAGCAATTAGAATCTTGTTGGCTCAGGACTTCTGGTCTCATTCATTTCCACTGATTTTAAAACTGAGGTTAAAAAAGTCGTGTTCAAATGTCGTGTGCAGTAAAAAGGTGGCTTAAACTGACCAAAATGTAAAAAAGTTACGTTTTCTAGTGAGATCAGGCTGGACTTTCTAATCCACACCTGCTTATGATTGTGTTTTTGTCCGTGTAACAAAGTTGTGTAGATTTTAACACTTCAAAACATACCATAAACAGGTAACACTTTATAATAATTACACACTATAAATCATTTATTAAGCATTAGCAAATAGTGAATTCATTATCTTTTAAGCATTATTAATAAGCGCTAGTAAGCAGTTTATAACTGCAGCTACAAATTCTCTATTCTTGACTTATAAGCACCTGTATAATGTGTTCAATAATTGTACTTTCATACTTAGTTAATGATTTATTTTTCATTACTACATATTGCATTATTTATAAACCATATGTGTATTGAAGAGAAGTTGAGGGTTTTTAGGATAATTCAAAATGAGTTAGTAAATGATTAATAAAATATTGAAATCAACATTTATATTTTTTATTATTCAGTTATATATTAATGGTTACTATCTGTGTTAATAAATGATTTGTTAACTCAACTTCATCTAGTTTTGTGACCTAATCTAAAGTGAGGACTATTTATGCTTTATAAAACCCTTATAAATGACAAATAAAGGCTCAGTTAAATTCTAAACAGGAAAAATGACATTATTCATTCTTATTCATTTAAAGATACACAAATAAAACTGTACTTTAAATGAAAAATAAATATTTGCAACCTAATCTAAAATAAAATTACTGTAGAGTTTAAACATTGCATCTTATTATATTTTTAAATTATTGTTATATTGTTGTTGTATATTGACACTCCTGTTATTCAGCAATCTTTAAACTTTACAGTAATTTTACTTTTTAGAAAAGATTGCAAGGATTATTGTTCATTTGATTCGGAGCCTTTAATAGTCATTTACAAGGGATTTATAAAGCATAAATAATCCACACTTTAGATTAGGTCACAAAACTGCATGAAGTTGAGTTAATAAAGCATTTATTAACATACTAGTTAACTATTAGTATATGCCTGAATATTAAGACATATACATGTTGATTTCAATAGTTTATCATTCATTTACCAACTCATTTTGAATTATCCTAAAAACCCTCAACTACTCTTCAATACAACTGGTTTGTAAATAATGCAATACTTCATTTAGTAATGAAAAACAAATCATTAACTAAGTATGAAAATACAATTATTGAACACATTATGTAGGTGCTTATAAGACAAGAATACAGCATTTGTAGCTGCAGTTATAAACTGCTTACTGACGCTTATTAATGTAGAGTTAATGCTTAACTGATAATGAATTCACTATTTGCTAATGCTTAATAGATGATTTATAGTGTGTAATTATTATAAAGTGTTACCCATAAACATTACCGTAAATGTAACAGATTTTTTGAACACTATGTGAGCAAATGGCACAGTACATTGTACCTTGGAAGTGGGATGTCTTTTTTATCATTATAATAGTTGATTTCTCTTCTTAAGTGCCGCATCCATTCCTGTCAGAGAAAAAAAAACATGCACATAAAATTTAATATTAATGATTTTTTAAAATTAAATATTCACAAAAAACAAAGCAAATGCAGATCTGAAATGCATTCAGCAGAACCTCACCTTTCTCTCATCTTCACTCGCAGCTGAGAAATACCATGTTCTGTGTCTCTTACTGAAGTGAACGATCTTAAAAGGGAAAACATTGCTTGATGTTGTTTCTTCTGCTGCTCGCAAGACTCTGAAAGACAATAAAAACAATATCGAGAAGCTGAATTAGCAGAACCCAAAGTTTACATTTGGAAAATATATAAAGTAAACATAAATTATTACTTTTATTGAAGAAAGATGCATGAACATTTACTTATTGACTACCAAAATGTGTGCAAAGTGCATTAAAGAAACACCTAAGACCCCCAACATGCCCAAAGAAATAAAAGTTTTGTAATTTATTAAAGTAAAAATAACAACTTTACAGTAAATTCTGTAATACCGTGAAATTCTGTAATACTGTGATAAACCTTTTTACATTTATGATGGCTAGTGGTGCTTCAGGGTCAGGCTTCACTACCATTATCAATCACCAAATCCTTTGTATTACAGTTTATTAATTTGAACAAACCGCTTTGTGCAAATGTACCATTTCTTTGCCAATAGTTATTCTGTCACACACGCATGTAGCTAAAATGTCCACGATTGACTCTCATCTGCAAACCCTTCCTGTTCTCTGCGCTAATAGTTCAGAGGATTATTTTTCACCCAACCATATATGCACAATAATTACATGTTCACCGTACACCACAAACCTGCTTAAGAAAAACTACACGCAGGACTCCAAGCACTTTCCGCCACTTTAACCAAATGGAAAGTTTGAGTCTGAAACGAACACACGAAAGACACGCAAAGGCTTCTTTAACATGCACAGGAAACATATGAAGGCCAATTGTGTGAACAATCGAAACTCTTGTACTTAAAAAAAGGCCACCTGTAGAAAGGAGGGTTGTGGACAGGATGTGGCCTGTGATCGTGCTGAAACGGCCACTGCATATCTTAACTTACACAGCAGCAAACATACAGAGAGGTGGCTTACAGAAACAGGCTCTACCTGAGTGACCATAGACTAGCGTTAATCAATATACTGAGCCCATTAGTTTTAAAAACTCATTTCTAGTCACTGATTTATTTTATCTTTGCCATGATGACAGTAAATAATATTTGACTAGATAGTTTTCAGGACACTTCTATACAGCTTAAAGTGACATTTAAAGGCTTAACTAGGTTAATTAGGTTACTTAGGCAGGTTAGGGTAAATAGGCAAATTATTTTATAACGACGTTTTGTTCAGTAGACTATCGAAAAAATATATATAGCTTAAAGGGGCTAATAATATTGATCTTAAAATAGTGTTTAAAAAATTAAAAACTGCTTTTATTCTAGCCGAAATAAAACAAATAAGACTTTCTCCAGAAGAAAAAAATATTATCAGACATACTGCAAAAATTTCTTTGCTCTGTTAAACATCATTTGGGAAATATTTAAAAAAGAAAAAGAAAAACTTAAAGGGGGGCTAATAATTCTGAATTCAACTGTATATATCTGGTTGGCCAATTCCAACACTGATACCGATATTGGTCAATTGCATGTATTATATAGTATTAGCTAGTATTCTTCAGCTTTTTTTATTTCTTTTGTACTTTTACAATGTAAATTGTGATGTTTCCTCATTAAATTAGTTTTAGTCAATATTAGACCCATTTATCATTTAGCCGTCCAACATTGTAAAATAAATAAGTGATAAAATGGAAATAATCATTAGTGATTTTTGTGATCCAATATATATTTGACATATAATAATAGCAAACATATTTATATAATAAACCTAACAAATAAAGCCAGTGCTGTTGCAACGTATAACAATTAATTATATATACATTTTTACACATTAGAAGCACACTGTAAAAATTGCTGGGTTTCCACACCTTCAATTTGTGTTGGGACAATATGATGGAATTAAGTTGACTTATTAGTTTTTACAAAAATCAGTGTATTGAACATTAAACAATTAAGTTGCCCCCCAAGAACCCTCAGGAATTGTGTTTTGCAGCTCATTTTAAATAATTAGTTGGAATAAACATTAAAAGATGTTTTCTGAGAGCAGATCTGACATTTGTAAAGATTATATATATATATATATTTTTTTTTTTTTTTTTTTTTTTCAAGTATTTAATGATTTTGCTCTCAGAAAAATGTTGGATTATTCTAAAAATGTGCAACTCATTGCCTCTATGTAAATATTAGCCAATATCAGCCTCTTTCACATTATTGAAGACTGAAATAATATATAAATAACCTAACAAAAATATAACCTTAAACCATTACTGAAAAGCTAACTGTCAGATTTTGCCAAAATGTAAGCCAATTACATCCAACAACACAAATAAAATATGCAGATAGCAGTAAGAATCTGCAGATGAATACAGCATTTACCATTATATAGTGATTTAACAAGTGATTTTGTTGTTTGTTGATTAATGTTAGCAGCAGTTTGCTGTCACTTTAAGAAATTACACAAAATATAAACCTTAAAGTGAAAGAACATGAAAAATGAACTCTGAGAGAGACACACAAACAGAACAAAAGTGTTGAGTTTCTTGTGGTCGACCTTTCAACTGAACCCTGAATTGCACATAAAGTACAGAGTATGAAATGAGCTAATTAAGTCTCTGAAGAAAATGCTCAAAGGGAAACTGCGGTGGGACAGATTAAAGTGTGACTACTGACAAATACTTCAGTATTGCTACTTTTGGCAACACTAGAACTTCATGTGAGTGAACGCATTGTGTTATGTAAGTCAGCCTACCTGTTGTATCCGTTGAGAGAAAAGGTTCCTTGTGGTGCAGCAGACGTGCTGCTCTTGAAATAGTAGACGCAGCCTTTATGGATGATGATGAAGCGAAGAGGCCCTGTGGAATCGGTAGACACTCAGTACATGCTTCTTCAAGTCATATAAACAATCTTTTTTATTTGCACATAAATAATGATTCATTGGAATTACTACCATTTTAGTGTAGTTAACAAGTTAGTGTTTGCAAACAATTTAGAAGGGCTGAATTTAAACAAACAAGTCAGATTTAGTATTGTTCAACTTAATTTGTTTGTTTAAATTCAGCCCTTATAAATTGTCTGCAACCACTTACAGTTGAAGTCAGAATTATTAAACCCCCTGAGTTATTAGCCACCTGTTTATTTTTTCCCCAATTTCTGAAGATTTTTCTAAACATAATAGTTTTAATAACCCATTTCTAATAACTGATTTATTTTATCTTTGCCATGAAGACAGAAAATTATATTTGACTAGATATTTTTCAAGGCACTTCTATACAGCTTAAAGTGACATTTAAAGGCTTAACTAGGTTTATTAGGTTAAATAGACAGGTTAGGGTAATCAGGCAAGTCATTGTATAATGATGGTTTGTTTTATAGACTATCTGAAAAAATATAGCTTAAAGGGGCTAATAATTTTGACCTTAAAATTAAAAAAAAAAAATTAGAAGCTGCTTTTTTCTATCTGAAATAAAACAAATAGGACTTTCTCCAGAAGAAAAAATATTATCAGACATACTGTGAAAATTTCCTTGCTCTGTTAAACATCATTTGGGAAACATTTAAAAAGAAAAAGAATTTCAAAAGGGGGCTAGTAATTCAACTGTACCTTAAAAATGTACTAAATCAAGTGAATAATTTTAGTGTAGCAAATCCTACTAGAAGAATCATTTGTTTGCATATTAAAACAGAATGCAGCTCTAAAATAATAATTACTTTTTACTATAAGCCTTTACACTTATCCTTTAAGCTACTATATTTAAATTTGACATAATAATGTAATAATTAGGGTTTTTATTATGTAAATAGGACTCGATCAATGTTCATTTATGCCTAATGCATTAACAAACATGACCAAAATTCATCTACAATGAATATCTACTAATATCTACGAGTCTAAAATCTATTTATTTACTGAATATTACAGGTTACTCAACATGAAAAAAACAAACATTTGCAGCTCCAGAAATAATCTTAACCACAAATAAATGTGTTAGTATTATTTTTTAAAGCCTAAAATCATACTTAAAAGTTTATAGAGCTGTATTTTTTTCTTAACATGAACATCCTAGATTAACTTATGGTTATGTATTGCATTTTTATTTATTCACTTTTACTAAATACTGTAAAATGATAACAGTGAATAATATTTGTACAACTTAAATATTTGTTCTCTGCTTCAATCTATTTTAACAGGCCATTAAAACATGTTTTACCATAACTAAAAGATAAATGAATCATTAATATTCATACATAATTTTATATTGATGGTCTTAATCATTGGTTTATTGCCTGCCTCACTGATTCACTAATTTTTGAATATGTCCATAAAAGAAAACATAAAAGAAGTCATAAGGATCAGAATGACAGTCATTTAATAAAGACAGAATTTTTTTGATGAACTGTCTCTTTACGTAACAGAAATGTGTCCCTTAAAACAACAATCAACTTTTTTTGAGAGAAGGCTCAATTTGCCACTCCAACAGTTGGGTTTTATAATTTTTAAATCCATTGAGCCAATCTCCATGTCTGGCAGGAGCACTTTTAGCTTAGTTTGGCATAGATCATTAAATCAGATTGGACCAGATTAGAGTTTCCTAAGTAAAGCCTATGAATAAGTTTGACTCCTCTGTCGTTAAATTATGAACTAAGACCAACGTGTTATTTTTTAGGCTGATATATTTTGGAATAACAGTATACTTGCATTTTGGTGTAATTATCTTAGTACAATCTTTAACAACAGAAGAGTCAAGCTTTAAATAAGAAAATTATCCAAACTCTTTGGTCATTTTGGAGCGAGATGCTAATGGTCTAATCCGATTCAGTGATCTATGCAAGGCTAAGCTAAAACTGCTTCCACCAGAGCTGGAGATCAGCTGAATGCATTCAAAAAATGGTAAAGCTCAACTATTTAACTCTAGAGGAGTTGTAAAATAAGTGTTTCTTAACTAACATAAATGTGTGTGTACTGGTAGATGGATGCCAGATAGCCATGCAAAACTCACATTTCATCAGGCTGAACTGGCTGCCTCCTTTCTTGTGCAGATATCCAGATGCGTTGACTCCTCCAGGCATGGTGAGCAGATTCTGAGCTCCGATAGCCTTCATGGGAATGGGCCAGGAGACCGGTGGTGCAGCCATGTTTCTGAAAGCAGCAGCAAAGGTTTCTTTGTTAGCACTTATGCTGTTTAGTGGCTTTGGTTTAAGCAATTATTTTGGTGAAGGGCTGAGGTATATTTTTCCACTGTTGGAGGGGTGAAAAATATTCACACGACCACCCAGAACGCTAGCACAACCATCCCAACAAGCACTGATATACAACTAGAACACCAGCAATCCCAACTGCACTGCTTTTCTGACAATTTTAGGATATTAAAGGATCTTTTACTCCAAGAATGAAAATGTACTGTGATTATAAGTTAAAAAATTTCTGTTGAACACACAAAAAGGTAATCTGAAGAATGTTGGTCACCGGTAGCCAAACTCCATGGTATGTTGTTTTTCATACTATGGATGTCAATGGTTATCGAATTCCAACCATAGTGTTCAACTGAAAAAAAAAATCATAAAAGTTTGAATCTTCTTGACAGTCGGGATTACATTTTTTTGGCTGAACCATGTCTTAAAGCCTTAATTAAAGGTTTTGTATGCTGTAAAACAATCGTTATAGAAAACCATGCAGATATCCTGTAAAGCAAAATATGCCACAGGACACACAAATAAGACAAATTTAATCTGATTTGAACTTAAAATTTCTACTCAGTAAGAACTCTCTCTCTCTCTCTTTATTCAAAATTATTCTATAGCCAAGGAAAATCTGTATTTTTTTTTGGCATTACACTTGTTTACTACAGTATATAGAAGACCCAACGATGACTCAGATGACTAGCATTTAAATATACATCTTGTAGAAACGTTATCTCATCACTGATGTTAATGTAGTTAACCAGATTAACTCTACAGTGTTCATATGTAAACCTCAATCCCATAGATTAAAGGTGTTGAAACAATCTGTTCTCCTATGATTCACTACTGATAAACCAAAACAATGCGACAAAGCAAGTAATATATATTTTGCACAATATACCCGGCACGCAAATTAATGCGACATCAAAAAACATAAAAAATAATATTTTTTAAAAATGTATTTTTTTTACCCTTAAACTCCTTTATGTTTCCATAAATTCTGTTTAAATTTAATTGTTTTTAAATCCTGTCAACCCTGATTAAGGACTGATTAATTATAGTTAAAATGTGGATCACTTCAGACAATATGCAAACATAGTATTTTTATAATTAACCATTTAAGTGTACTAGTCTAGTAATATATTTCTTTCATTATTTCTTCAATTAAAATACATTTAATTTGACATTTGGCATGAAGGTAATTTTTTTCTTTGAAGTTTTTGGAATATTTTCTTTTACTTTTGTCAACCTTAGAAATGTTTTAGTAAGTAGAAACTGCAATTAAAAACGTGAACAAATAAATACAGCCAAGGGGGCTTTGAACATTGTTGTGGATCACTGTGCAAAACTAAACAAACAAAAACCATCAGCATCTGAACAGGTTTTACAGCAACCAGACATAACAAACTACAGACATCACAAATTATAGGTAATTCTTGTAAACAAAAGAACAAATTCTTGTGTTGTGACACTTGGTCACAACACAGAGATGAAACAAATCTGCAAGCATAAACAATGACAAAACAGAACAGACACTCAAAGACCTCTAACAATCACAAGAGCCAGAACAACAACCCTGCTCCACAGTTTCCACATAACATTTTACTAGTATGAGGAGACTACATGATCCCAATTCGCAGGAATATACAATGCATCACTGCAACATTCCAATCAACCAATCAGATTTGGATTTAAGATTTCAGTTTATGTCTAAAGTTTAGATAAAGTGCTTTAACATGCTATTCAACTATAACTTTCCAATACATTTAAGAATAACTTACAGTTATTGTAACATTTAGAGGCTGGGATTCAATTATAATTTTTTTGACCAAAAAAATGTTTCAGGATCAACTAACTATGGAAAGTCTGCAAAATCAGGACAGACACAAACACCCACAATATTCAAACTACTCCCACACGCCACAATCATTATCCTCCTGATGCCCTGTGGTTTCTTTAGACAAACTGAGAGATATTTTCCAAATTCCAAATACACAAACCTAAATTTAAGTAATGGGCCAAACCGTCTGGGGTCCATTAAAGGGGTCCACATGACAGTTTAAAATTAGTGCTGGGTTAAAAATACCACAAAAAAAAAAAAAAAAAAAAAAAACCTAGGACACTATGTTTTTCATATCATACCGAATTTATACAGCTATAAAAAAAAAACTAAGCAACCATTTGAAAAATCTGATTTTTTTTTTGCTGTTTATACAACACAATCTCACAGCAATTCGTAACCTTTTGATTTAGTGGCTAATTTGTAAGAATTTGTATGATCTCATTTTAGTACGATTTTAGTACGATTTTAGTATGACTTACAATTTAGTACGATTCGCTCACCAACCAGTGACGTTTGGGTATAGGGGTGGGGTTGGGTGGCAAGCCTCCTTTTTAAAACCATACATTTTCGTATGAATTAGCCATTAAACTGACAAAACCTAAAATAGTTATGTTTTCTTATGAGATCAGGCTGGATTTATTAGTTTGGGTTTGAGTAAAATGTTAATATTTGTCTAGGAAAATTTCTTCTGATATGTTGCTATTTAAGGTTTTATGCCAACTTATCAAAATATATATATATAAAAAAAACTCATCTGAAGATAATACATTGCTATTGTGTTGTCTAAAAATTTATATAATCACATCTGCAAACATGAAAAAGTGCCATTTTAGGCTCTAAAGGACTTTTTAAAAATTTAGAATAAATATTATTAGTATTTTACAAAATAAAACAAGAACAAATCATGTCATCAAAAAGTTATCATAAACAAATTGCATTTAGTACACAATAATAATGTCCTATTTTCTTAAAGCTGAAACACACCTTAATCTTGATGAATGCGTCTAATAACTCTACAAACTCTGCCCAAACATCTACAATCCATAAACATCTCCCACACTCCACAATCACAGCTTACCTATAGCTGACGCATCTCTTCATGCCCTGCGCAGCTGAAATTTCCCTCAACATACTGTACTGCCAAAAACCAGAGACCAGCAAGACATACTGAAAACGTCCTGCAACAACAGCCTTGAATCTGGACAGGACAAAGCAAGGACAGGAAACTCTAGGCTTCCTCTGGAAAGTTAGAGCCCCTCCTGGGCTGTCGAGGCACAGCAGAATTTGCTGTATCTTATCCGGCGTGTAAAGCAGAGTGCCGGTCAGCAGATGTAGATGAAAACTGAGAAAAGTCCATTTAGCATTGGGTGGAGTGGAGAGATTAGAATCCCTTGGGACAATCTTGACCTCAAAGAGAAGAGTAATTCTAGAGTCTCAACATAATATCCAACCAAAGAATTATGTTCCAGGAGCGTGTTTGTGGCCGTGCAAAGCTATTTTTAGGAGTTAAGTAGAAGTTTAGAGTGGCGATGTCAGCAAGAAATGCTCTTGACATAGACTTCACTTAAAGGAAATTAAAAGACAAGCATTTCCACTCATTTGTTTTTTGCAAGTGAGCTGACTTTTTGAGAAGTTTCTTTTTCTGTTGAGGTGTTGATGCTGTGAGGTTTGAGAGATGAACATTGACATGAGACGGACATCGGAGGTTATTTAATTATAGTTAGAGACTTGTGCGGTTTGTTAACACTTGTGCAATTGAATGCTTTAGAAGTGTTTATGCGACATCTTTTTTTTTTTAGCTAGAAAAAGAAACCATTTTATGCACGGTAAATCCTTTTTACACAGCATACACTAGGGTTGGGTCAATAGACGATGCCATCATCCAGTACCGATGGCTGGTAGACATCACAATCCTTCGCCCTGGCCCCATCATAGCAGCAACCCACTCGCGATAAAAACACACTCAGGCCCCATTTGCACTAATACTTTAAACGTGAAAACGTTCCGCGTCCACACTGGCGTTTCTGCCGTTTCACAGACACACACACACACCCTAGAGAGCAGTGCACAACGGACAGTTTTTTAAGGATGTACCACTGGATTGCATCTCACTTTAGTTGTTAAACGTGATATTTAATTAATCTTGCCTCTATTTAACAACTCTTTGATCCTTTGAATCTTTCAGGTAACGTGTCACAGCATCAGTACACTGCTTCAATCCTTTGCTTTCACGCGTGTACTCAGTAATTTTAGCTAAAAACTCAGATACTGTTGGTTGGATCCTGTTGGTTGTGTACCTTTTTTACCAACCAAGATCACTCTGCCTAGTCCCGCAGAAAAAGTGATTGACAGGTGGCAATTTATGTGGAACATCTTTATTTATGGATATGGGTAAAACAAAGACTATGCAGGTCAGGTAGTTGAAACGGTAGGCTACAAATTATTTTGTCATGAATAAATTAATTGTGCACAAATAATTAATTCTCCACTGCCTACGATGACAATGCCATCATCTATCACAATGTTTCACACTAGACATCATACAATGCCAAATTGGTTGACATCGCCCAGCCCTAGCATACACTGTACAAAATGCTGGGTTCCACACAATGCACTCATGTTGTCCTATCACAAATCACAACGTTATTGCTTTTACAAATATAATGTTGCGGTCACACTAAAGTTTGAGACTGCGAAATTCTGTTGTACGGCACTGCAAAAAGGGGCGGGATTAAACAAGATGATAAGACATTTAAAAAAGCAGTTGATTGGTCTTTAATTTAAATTTCTCTCTATAAGGTCATATTTTGATATTCGATTGGTTCACCAAGCTTGAATTTTGCAATGCAGCCAACTGAGAAACTTGTCACAGGGGCTTGCGTTTCCAGTGTTACGGTTTAACTGGTGACCGTGTTAACTGGTGTCCCTTTCCAGATGTAAGCTATTTACGTTTGCAGATTGGCAGATTCGCCACTTTTTCACAGCAACAAAACATGCCCAAACACCAAATAAAGATTCTTATTACTTGGCGTCAGTGTCATTGTAAGAAATATTGATTTCAATATCTGTGTAGCAGAACAGTATATAACTAAAAATATTCCAAAAAATAAATATAATTTACATGTCATCAACGGGATTCAGCTCATTTTACATGTGTTTAAACAAGCAGTGAAAATTCTTGTTTGAGTGAAGACTGTCAGCATTGGAGTAAAGAAACCTGACAAACACACACGCACACACACACACACACACACACACACACACACACACACACACACACACACACACACACACACACACACACACACACACACACACACACATACACACACACACACACACACACACACAAAAGTGTTTTTACGTAAACCATTTAATGGAGCATTAGTGTCTGTACACTGAATTCTGAGAAGACACAGAGCCGCTTTTGGGTCGCCCTAATCTTCCGTGCAAGCATGACTTTATAAATGTAACCCCTTTGCTCAATAAAGAATGAGGTAACTTGACTTTTTGGCTCAACTATCCCTTCCATGTTGGCTATTATTTGTTAAAATTTACAACATTGTTTTTCATTTTTTCACAGAATAATCAAGTAATGCCCTGCAAACAAACTAATAGGTCTATGAGTCACTATGAAGCCTTAATCGTCATCATCTTTGAGTTGATAATCAGGCACAGGATATTCATGCTCAATAGAAACTGTAACACAAAACAGGGTGGGTTGAGGACGATTTTGCTATTTTTAAACAACTTCCTGATTTTGTTGATCCATGTGCTGCTCAACATGAAGCCAAATACATGTCACAATTAACTCTATTTTTGAGCTGTGATTACTCTTGAGTAAAGTTACTTATAAAAAGTAATGTTACAATCTTAAAATAAACAAAACAAAACAGTGAGATACTTTTAAAGTGACTCAAGATTGTAGTATATTGGTTTTAGAAGTAACTTTCCCCAACACTGATCTGTATCTGATTGGATCTTTAAAAATTAGGTGCTTTTAGAATAAACCCATTTTGTAGAATTACACACGCAGACGAATCATCAAGAAAAGTGTCAAATAAAGACGCAAATGTGGTCAACCTGGAAACATTTAGGAATGCCAACAAAACCTCAGTGCCCTTCTCTTTTCTTGAAAGTACACACGTTCAAGAAGAAGAAAATTAAAACATATTTGGCCAATTTCCCCACCCACGTTGTTATGATAATGTCAGTGGAAAATTAGGGTTCAGTGTTTGCAATCTGTTGCTTAAATTTGATTAATAGAATATTCATTCTAAAATACCATATAAAATTGCATTTTTTTCACTCTAAGATTAAGAATGCACATTTTTAAAGTGAATAATATCAATTTCCTCTATAAAAGAAATGATATCAGTGGTATTTTAAATTTCCAGACAAGATTGTTTACTAGTAGTAGTTTACTACTAATAGTATGTACTATGAAATTTCAGCAGTGGTTCCATGACCAGAACTTGACCTGAAGGGGTGAATGAGAATAATAGCATATTTCTTTTTTATATTTAGAGCATAGAAAGTTGACTTCAATACATTGACTATGCAAAGTACTTGTGTAGTTAAAATATATATATATATATTTTTTTTGTCTAAAAATTTATATTTGTTTTCTCTTTTTTTGTTATTCAATGCAATCAAACAAACAAAAATCTCAAGAACATTTGTATTTTAAATTCGGAAGAAATGGCATCAGTTGTTTACAGAATAAACGGACAAAAAAGTTTTACACAAACACATAACTGTCAATTTGTAAATAAATTCAAGATAAAATGATATAATAAATACCTGGATATGAATCTTATGGTGAAGATATTAGGATTTTACAGATTAATGGCATTTAATATTGATTATACAGTAGCATTGTGTACCAACAGTATGAGCTGATGTGACTTTTATTGATCATATAAGCACAGATACAGCAAATTATTGAATGACTGTATATTTATGACGTCACGCTATTGTGTCAAAATGTAATATTTAAATTATATTGATATTAATTCATTTTGTATTATTTATATTATTTACCTTCTATGTTTTAGATGTTTAAATATTAGGAGAGATGTTTATTTATTTATTTACTTTACCAGAGAAACAATATTTCTCCTATTTCTACAAAATAACCTGGTTTTTAATAATATTAAAAACAAAACAAAACGTAATTTTACGGTTTATTTCCGGCAGCTAGGGTGCCGGTTATAAAACCATAAAATATCGGCCGTTAAATTACAGAAATTTACTGTAAAATAAAAGAGGTTGAATTACAGAATTTTACCAGAAATGTAAATTTAAGATAATTTCTGTAATTTAATGGCCGTTATTTTACGGTTTATTTCCGGCACCCCAGCTGCAGGAAATAAACTGTAAAATTATGAATTTTTTTTTTACAGTGAAGAATACAGACTGTAATCTGTAGCTCTTATTTACTGTAAATTATTTTAGACTTTAATGCTAAAATCGATATACTAAATAATAATAATAAACTATTGTGACTTAGTTTTGGTGTTATGTAAATGAGTAATGCATTTATTTATTAATATTTTAATATTTATGCATTACGCATATAGAAAATCAATGCAAAGCCATTCTTCCACTGCGGTTTTGTGTATCTTTAAAAAGTATTGGTTTAGACACTGTTTAGGCACTGGTATTTAAGAAAAACACAAACACTACCCAACCCTAATGGTAAATATTACCAGATTTAATCAAAAGTCATTTTTTAATGTCATCCATTGTCGATTTGTGGGTCTTTTTTAAACTATTTGTTTAGCTAGTTTAGTTTTAAAGGCCCAATTTAGCAAAATTTACAGCTTCTAAAGTATCAGTGTGGTGCCAGCATTGTAAAAACCCAAAGAATTCTTATCTTAACTGTTCTAGATAAATGTCAATAATGTTATATCTATTTAAGCTAAATGAAACATCAAATACAACAATCTTTAATTGGTTTTACTTCCTACATTAGCATTAGATATCCTATTAGCAACATATGAACAATATCTTTCAGGAAAATTTTTTATTCGTCTATCCACATGAACTCCCAGCCTGATCTCATGAGGAAAATTGTGTCAGAAAAGTTTCTAATTCATATGATTTCATTCATATGAAAAAATACGATTTTTAATAGGAGATGTGACTCAAAACCCTACCCCTAAACCCAATCCTCATTAGTGGATGAGCAAATCGTACTAAAATGTACGAATGAGATCATATTCATTTCTACAAATTAGCCACTAAGGGAGTACTCACACTATGTACAGTTGCCTCAAACCGGGCCAAAGCACGCTTGTCCCCCCTCCCGTCTCTCCCATTGGCCCGCACTCACATTACATTTGGGCCTGGGCACGCTTACCTCATCGATGCTGCACTGTTCAGTAAGCGCTCTCGCTCTGCACAGTGGAGATTTCTGTAGTTATATTGCTTTAGTCCTTAGGGATGCGGTGACTCGCAGTGAGATATTTCGCCGAACAGATCCGCCACTTTTGACACTCATAAACAATCATAAAGCCCTCGTGCTGCAG